GTGCTACATATGCTAACTGAGCAGAGCAGAACTCAGCACTGCTGTACCAGTGTACGTAACAGGAATATGTGATATGTGAGCCTTGGAGAACATGTAGGGATAATTTCTTTGAATTTCTAGAGAGACAGATCTGGACAAGTCTTCCTATTTTCCTGGAGGCAATAATATCTCCTGGCTGAAGAGGCTACTAAACATTGAACTGAAAGTGATACAAAGTGACTAGCATATTCAAAGACAGAAGTCTTAACCCAAGCAGAGATGGGAGCTTGTAGTAGGAAGCTACCATGCAGGACGAGTATGGGACTCATTTCTGAATACTGGGATGCTGTCAGGTGAATAGTTACTGTCTGATGTATAGTTAATGCTAAGTGAGTGGTATTATGCTTTGGGAAGGTCAGGATCCTTTGGTCACAATAATTCAAATGCTGTCCCTGAAAAAGCAGAGTTTCAGATATTGAATAAAGTGAGATGCCCTAGTGCATCCCAGTATTCAGAAACGGAAAACTGCCCAGTAAATCCAAAGCAACCCGCAAGGAAGTATCTTTGTCGCCAGTTAGCTGCCTAGCGGCTGTCCTTATTTTATGTAAGGTGAAATATATAGAATCTGGCCTAGACCCAGCTCTCACATTTACCTTATTCCTAAAGGTTTTGTGGTCTTACTTTTGCTCTGACTTTTTAAAATCTTCTGTCATGCAGAAGTTGGTGAGCGAGCCAAGCTCGCAGTCCGCTCTTTTTTCTTCCAAGTAGACTCCATATCCAAAATTATGACTGGATCTACGGGAGGTAACTGAGATGGAGTGGATTATGCAGTTCAGGTTACAGCTCTATGGCAACATTCGAGCCATAGTCACCCCAGAGAAAAAGAAAAAGAAAAAAAGGACCACAATTAAGGCACAGAACTGTAATATAAAAAGGGGGGCATGTAGATGAAAAAGGGACTGGAAGTATGACCCTAGCTGTAACTGGTCTGGTATAAACATGTTTTTACCATTTCTGTTAAAAAAAACAAACATGGATATTTATTTTGTCCCATGGATTTTTTAGTTCCTTAAGCTGACAAATGTATTTAAGACACACAATAATTACTGATTCCTTTACATTCCAGTGACACAAACCACCTTCATTTTAGATGTATTTTTCACTGCAAATTCGTATGTTTCTTTACATAACCTTTGTTGGTGGCACTGCTTTGACTGAGAGTTTTAGCTGACCTAATCCTTTTTATGTCCTTCCTCATGGAAAGGAACCTGAACATTGTGAGGTAATCAGGCAAAAAATGCTGTTTAATTTCTGTGTACGTGTGCAGGCTAGAACGAGGGAAATCTGGCTTATTTGACCCTTTTGCTACATTTGTGGAACACTAAAAATTCTCAAATATTGTGCTGAGGGTGCACTCTCTGGTTTAAAGCCGCTATGAAAAGAAACAAAAGAAGAAACAGTCCTAAACCAGAGGAATAAGGCTGCCAAAGTATGTCCATGTCTGCCGGTTCAGTAGTCATTTGAGAGGAGTACATGTAGACTTCACAGAAAATCAGAACAGCCTGGGTATTGATGTGGACTAGCATCAAACTGAAAGTTCAGCACCACTTTGTACCCAGCTGGTTTTATCTTTTCCCTTGTAATGGCTGAGCACTGTGTGTTTTTCGAAACCTGCTGTACAGATCAGAGTCCGCAGACCTCAGGCTGGGTTCTGCTTTCGTCGCTCCCATGAACTTTTAGCCTTGCTCATTAAAATGCCTGGTGTTCTTCAGATGCGGTGCATGGAGTGATAAGGTGTTTCTCGAGAAACCTCTGCGAAAAGCTTCTAACAACAGGTACCTTGTAGGGCCACAAATCTTGCTGCCACTTGCTGTGCTGTGAGTGGCAGTTGCCCTATTTCTTCGTCCTATTATCTTCTATTCCTCGTTTTACTTTTAATGGAAAAGCATCCGATCCCTTCCAAATCAACTAGGCATTGAACCACACACTTCTTATACACTTACATGTGAATATAAAAACACTACAGAAAGGTAATATTTAGAGGAAAGCTATTCTTGTGTGGCAGAATGCACTGAGTGAATACATAAAACACTGAGGCTTTATGTATATATGTATATGTATATATATGTATATATGTGTATTTACATTTATATGAACATATATTTATCAGCAATGCATTTTTGATTTCTCTAGTAAGTGAAAAATAGAAATTTAATTTTTCATTCCTAAATTCATGGGCTTATAAATGACTTAAGCTTATTTTCTTAATGTAGTTACTGGATATGTGGGCATTAATTTGTTTTAATTTTTTAAGTAATCATAGCAGGCATAAAATGATGCATAGAAACACTGGAGAGCTGCTAAAGCTCAGTATGTTCATAAGTATTTCAATTTTCACTAAAAACTACACTCTTCTTCCTGAGCATTTTCACTCAGAATTGACTGTTCAAAGAGCCATTTCAAAATTTTATCCTGATACAATATTTTCAAGGGACAGAGATACGGTGTGAAAATAACAAACTTACGTTAGCTGTGAGAATGACCAGTTCAGCAATGCTTTCTGGTGTGCATTTTGGTTCTTATGTAGGCTATTGCATTGATAATTTTAGAAACCCTAGCCCAGCAACAGACACTTAGGAACCAAATGAGGTACTGCAAGCAGCAAGAATTTTAACTGCAGACTATAGCTTTATTTTCTTATTTATAGCTCCCTTCACTGTGTTGCGTTTTATGAAACATCTCTTTCTTTAGAATGCCCTGTCTCTATGCTTTCCTGACCAATGCACTTATCTTTAGATTGTATCCTGTTAGTTATCTTCAAATATTGAATTTATAAAAAAGCAAATCATAAAACCTTAGCTTTAGATTTTAAATGCCATGCAAATATTATTAAGAAATACCTAATTATCATTTTATTTAACTTCCAGCAATGTTGGCTTCGTTTTTGCCTTTTAATAAATGTACAATTGTTTTAGGAGAAAGCTTGAGGCGACCACAAGGAAGTATAAACATTTATGTTGGAGCTTACAGGGTTGCTCCAATGACAAAGCCAAAGTTTAAAGATGTATTAGTATTACACGTTTTAATAAGCAAAATCTAATAGTATTAGTTGTTGGCTAATGTTAAAGATTAAACATAGGCAGATGGATTTGCAGCTGGTATAAGTTGCTGTAGCTCTACTAATTTCAATCGCTTGTGCTGATTTCCACCACATGGGAACCAAATCTATGCTTTTAAAATTATTCGACTGCATAGTAGTATTGTCTACAGACAAACCCACCTTCTTTTTCAGGTTTTTCTCTATTCATTCTATTCTGTTTGGTTTTACAAACCAACGATTCTCCATTGAAAAAGGAAGATTTTTCTAATTTATTAAAAAGAACTCCCCACACAAAACGTTTTTATTGCAAAATGATAATTATGCAAAACAATGAAAAATGCTCCGTTTTGAGAGATTTTTAAACTTAGCATCTGTTTTTCCAATGTCTGAAAACGTTTAATCTTTGATATTTTAAATTAAAGATTAAATTTAGAAATGTGATATTCTGATGTTAAAAATAACATTTTACTCAGCAGTTAACTATAGTAAAATACAATCCATAAAAGATCGTAATTATTAACTGCCACCTGTTTCAATTGAGCTTTCTACTTTATTTCTATTTAGTTTCGGTTCATTGTTTTGTCGCGTGATTTCATCCTTTTTTTCTCCCTTCTTGTTTGGTTTGGAAAATGTCTTAGTAACACAGAAACAGTTACAGGAGAGAAAAAGATTTTCCCTTCCACTTCTGCTTACACTGTTGACTCTGAGATCAAAGTCCCATAAGAAAACTATGCCCACAGAAGAAATTATGAATGTAGATGGAGTTCAAATCTGAATGTATATCTACCCCAGGATGCAGTATGTTTAGCGTAAAATGAAACCAGAGGCTTGAAAACTATTTCTACATGGCTTTTTTATTCCAGTATTGATTCTTTAAGCAGAAAGCTCCTCCATTTACATCTTATTATTTAGGCTAACAATAAAGAGGCAAGAGCAAAGAGATATTTCTTTCCCGTCTAAGCTACTTTATACAAAGCCTCTTTGCCTTTCTGCTTCATTTCTTTCATAGTGTCCTTAACTCTTTATTGCTTTTACTGCCATTATTATGAATCACTTTTTTCATGTTTGATGTGCTCAGTCATTTTAATACAGATATAATTGTAAGGTGCAAAATGTAAATCTCCATAATGTGTTTGAAGAAAAATGTGTCAAAGTCCCTTTGTCATACTGACAGGTTATAAAATCAGACTGGCTCAGTTTAATCAGGTTTAAATTTTAATGACATAAGCAAAACTCAGACTAAAGTAGATATCTTTCTGTTATTATTTCAGATCACTCTGCCGCAAGCGAGAAGCATTTTATCATTTATTTATTGACTCTATCGATAATTTCAGAGCTATCTTCATCCTAACATCTGTTCTGGAGGAAGCACTTTAAATCATTAAAATATTTTTCAGAGAAGATATAAAAATTTTAAGACTAGTCGTCCTCTTTTCTGATGATACCTTTGCCCTTTCACCCTTATCTTTCCTCAGGTGAATTCCTATCCCTAGATGTGCCCATTCTTGCGCCAGGTCCAGATCCACTTAATTTTTATATCGATCTTGCTTTTGGGTCTAGTTTGGTAGTTGAAAGTCTTCCTTTTCAGAACGTGCAGCTGGTGGCTAATAAGGTGACCAAGCAACTGGTCATTGGAGCATTGCTGACAAAAAAAAAAAAAAAAAAGTAATATAGGAAAGAATATTAAAAAAGAAAGCAAGAGGCCAAACCGATAGATGGGGTGGGGCTACACCAAGTTCATCCTCTGCTGCTTGGGGCTTTTCTTCATCAGTGGAATGAGTCCTGGCTTGGCCTGAGCCTCATGGGCATCTCTGTGATGAGCACCACCCTTGATCTCAGACACTGGTTATCTGTGTGCCTTGTTTATTAGAAGAGTGTTTTCTGAAACTATTATTTTTCTTCCTTTTTTGTTTTTTAACAGCTGTGCGAAGCAACTCAGCCAGTATGCATACCCAGTAAACTCCTCTAAAACCTAATAATCCTACAACTACCCCAACAGGTAAGCTGCATGCTGTAATTGTAAATTCCTCTATTTCATTTCCACATCCTGCGCTTGGGGGTTCTCATCAGTAAAGTTAATTAAGCCACTGGCTCCTAGAGATATCACTTAAAGTTAACAGCTCTGGCAGCCGTGAGGACTGGAGAAGCTCTCTGCCGACCAAACAAGCGCAGCATGGCCAAAGGCAAGCCCAAACCCGCTGCCCCAGTAATGAGCAGGATTTCTGCCCCTTCTCACAAAATTCTGGCCTCCTCAGTAGGAAGCTGTCAACAGGGGAGAAAATTATTATTTTAAGTTTAAGTGTAGATAAGAAGATTGAGATTTCTGACTTAATTAAATAATAGGCCGATAGTAGTAGCTTTTGGTGACTATCACTTTCTTTGACTTCATAGCAGTATCCCAGAGGCTAAAAGGTTCGTAACACATTCTCAATGTCCTGAATCACCTCTACATTCAATTTCATTGGTCATTCAAATAATCAGTGGTTGAAATGAGAAAGGATGGTGATTCTCTAAAATTGTGTGCAAACATTACTGTTAAGCAGCTTCAACAGCTACAATGAAGCTTCTTCCTTTCTTAAGAGGCATTTTATAAACTAAATGGCCACCTTAAGATCAAAAGTTGTTTTTTATAACAAGAAATGAGGTGCACCCCAAATAACAGTCTCAGATGAAATAAGGACTAAATAAAGATGTGCTCAGCTGTCTGTTTGCTTACACCAGAGGAAGTGACTGCTGTCATTTTTTCCAAGGTGGGGCTGAACAGGAAATAGGAAGAAAAACGTGGACTTTTGCTTTTATTCTGGTGCTAGATCATTTGCTTTTTCAGATATATGTGCCTGTCTTCTTGCTGATCATTGCAGCAAAATTCACATAGTGCTCATGTTCTTTAGAAGTGTGATTCTTCTTTCACATAGATCTCTATAAATCAGAAGTGACTAAGTAAAAGGCATCGGAAAAGAAGTTGAGATAAAACTGATTAAGAGAAGAGACAAAACAAGTTTAAAATATGTTAATTGAAAGATAAATCTAATAAGCAATGTGAAGGTATAAAATATTTTTTGAAATGAAATTAGGTGAAAAGCAATCAGAAAACTAGACAATTTTATGCCCTGCTTAAAAGCATCATTGACCAGGCAGCCAAGAATTTATTGCTGCTTTGCTTTATTTTTGAATACATAAATAAAATGTCATCAGTGTCTTCTACAACACAATACTATTCATAAAATATAATGCCACCCCCTAGGCCTTTTGATTTCTGAATTGGAGCTCTATTTTAGCATTGCATGGCAGCTTGGTCTTTGCCCCAGATTGAAAGTTTGTATATTTTTTCCTAGTTTGGGAAGGAGCTGCAAATATAACTTGGAGGGATGTGGGGAAAAGAAGGGATGAGCTGTCCTTTTCAACATATTGAAAGGGGGCTGAAATCTCTGCGGGGGGGGGGGGGTATATAGCATATGCCTATCACAAATACTCACTGTGTTGCCTGCTTATCAAGAGGGAGTGAGTCAGATTTAGCATTAAGAAAACATCTTTGCACATCTTTGCACAAAGTGACAGGCACATTTGACTTATTAAAAAGGTGCTCTTAAAATGTAGATATCTTTAATTACCTTCTAAGATACGTTGTTGAATTAATATGTGAGATTTGCAGTCTAACTACTTGAATCTGCAGAAGTGAGCAGGAAACTCCAAGAGAAAAAACAGCTGTGTTAAGCCTTCCATGTTTCTCCAATTTAGCAATTTCTCAGAAGATCAGGTTTAAAGCATAGGTGGGTGCAAGAAAAGAGCTGTGCATATGAGAAAGTGTGGTGTTAAAGAGCCAGTGACAAGCAGGCATGAACAGAGCCACATATCTCATACAAGACTTGTTTTGCTACAGCCAGATATAGAGAGCTTGGCTTTGCCTTCCTGCTCCTTCTAGGTTTTCAAGTTAGGCTCATGCTGCCCTTCTTTGTGAAGAAAGATCAGAGAACTCTTAAACTGGAGATGCAGTCAAATAAATAGGATGGAATGAAAAATGTTAGAAAACAGGTGCGGTGCAATAGATCCTGGTGTCCTAATGTTGAGTCACCTTCTATCATTTGTTCAAATTAAGTCCATCCTGGCTGAAGGTGCAAGTCGTTTACAGATCACAGATCATTTGTGTAAAATCTGTAAATCTTTGAACCTTCGGCTTTCTCAGAAATGGAAGTTTTCTTTGGTTGCAGAATGTGATATTTTCTGCTAGGTTAGCAATACTGTGAGAAAACGTGCTGAATCCTAGCACAGGAGGACTGCCCTGGATGGTTGTGGAGGTTTTGAGGTCAAGAAAGCACAAATGAAAAATACTGCTTTGTAGAAAAGTCAGTCTGTTCCAGACTTCAGAAATTCATGCTTCAGGATTAATTTGAGTTTTAGATAACGGACAGAAGAACCTTGTGGCTTATATTAACTATTTCTTAAATTTCTATTGAGTATAGAATATATTTACCTTTACTTCAATGAGCAGTATTTCTGTATCCAAAGCTGCTCATCACAGCCATGAGTTCAAATGTTAATATCAGGAGGCAATGTTATTTTCTTCTTGGGTTTTAAACTCGTATCAGCTGCGCGGTAGCATATAGTATAGTTTAGAAAATGTGGAAAGATGCTCTGTTTTCAATCAGACATGTTTTCAAGAAGATGTTTGATCTTGACAAATGTAGGCAGTGTGAATCACTCTTGTATGTGTAAATGTATGTGTGTGTATATATTTTTACCATTTGTCCCTTTCTTTGCTTTTCCCAAGACATATTCTCTGCCAATTTTAAGAGCTCCAAAAACATAGCTCAACACGGAGAATTGCTTGCAGCACATAACAAAGACAAACTGTATTGATCCAATAAAATCCAAGATCAATCATGTAAATTTTTGGTTGGCATCTACCAGCAACACAACTGTTTATGTGTATGCCGACAGATACATTTTCCGGGGTACTCCAGTAAAATACAATAATCAGTTATAACAGTTAGCCTCTCAGTTCCTTATAGATGTTGTCCTTTTATTGCACATTTCATTTTAATTGCAGTAATTTTTAAAGCAACCCTTTTCTCAGTATTAGCTGGTTGAGATGTTAGTGCCAGAGTCTATGTTAATGTGCTATTGTGGATTGTTAGTAAGCGAGCATTAGATGCTGAAAGGAAGACCAGCCAAAAAAAAGGGGGAATAAAAAGACTCAAACCTAAGTCACCATTTATGTCTGTGAAATAGTGGCTTCAAAAAAGGTATTAATTTCATTCCCCATATCCACGAGACAAAGGCTGTCTTTTCCTTTTGGGAAGTATTGGGTTAAAGGGAGAAAGTCACAGCAATTGATAAATATTGATTTACATTCCACACAGAATGTCATGAAGTTTTCCACAGCATCTATTATGATTTATGAACTACTCGGTAATCTCTTCTACACTCAAATGATTTCCTTGGTCTCCATTTTATTAATTATCAACAAACATCTAATATTATTCTCTGTACTGTATTTACAGTTACAATAAGAATCTTAATTTATCACGTTTTAAATAATTGGCAGTTTTGAAAATACTGACGTGATTAGAGAATCTTCGCCTAGAATAATAAAGACAAAATAAGAACAGATGTAGCACGTCACCTCTGATGGCTTTACTTGAAAGCTTGTTTCAGGACCTAGTGGCATTATCAGCCTCTCTGGCTGTTCCGAACCGGTTGTGTGGTCAGCTACCCTTCCCCTTGCAAACTGGGGAAAATGACCGTGGAGGAAGTTATGAACAATTACCAGTAAGGAGAAGGTGAATTAAAATTAGCCCTTGCTTGCGATTACAGTAACATGTTTGCCAAATATGATGTATTTTTTATGAAAGGGGTGCAAAAACAGGAATTTTCTTTCTATATATGCTGTCCTTTTACCTGAATATTCTTCTTCATAAATGATCAACAATGATCTGGTCTTAACGCTTACAGTGATGCCTCCGTAATAACTCGTTTCCTTCCAAATGATGGAAACACACAACACTGCATACCCAAAGCTTCCTCTCCATATTCAAGGCCCGAGATCATGTTTCCTGCTGTTATCTTTGGAGATAGTGTCATGAGCAGGAATTTGTCACCAGAAATGCATGAAATCCCATGACAGATTTACTACACATTAGTGGGTCATTGTGGGGGTGTACGTCCTGGGGTCTTGATGGAACCTGTTAGGTAAAGAGCTTTTTTATTTGTCCCTCCCTGTATTTCTTTATCTTATCAGTGTGTGTTTATACATTCATCTTCAGAAGGATGGGAGAATCCATTTTTTCCCACTTTACCTAACAAAGCAACCTTAATGCACTGAAAATATTCCTTTTCTCTTTTTGTCCTATAAATAAATTGAAAAATAGTTGAAAATATGTATTTTTAATGAAATTAACAGAGCAAATTCAAAACTGCTAAACTGATTAAGCTGGCATGCTTAGCCTCCCATAGTTATTGTCCAAAACAAAGGCAATTTCTTTTTCCTCTCTTACCTTTTTTGAGCAATTGGTATTTAAAAGATTTTTTTCACAATAAAAGTAGTATTTACATCATTAGAACAAAATGTAGTTTATGGAACAGTGATAAAGCATTAACACAGTTCTTCCTTTCATTTCTACCTAGTTGCTGCATTCATTATAAAGATATATTCTGCTTGTTTAATTCAATTGCTGGGCGGAAAACAAGGGAAAGCGA